GATGAATGGTGTTTCATTTTTAATAATTACAATATTTTTCAAGCTAAAATTGTTTGTGTTGGTGTTGGCTGATTTTTCCGACAGGGTTCATGCTTTAACAAAAACTATATAAATCACACTTTCAAACTTTATACAGAACTTAGAAAGACTCCACAAATTTGTATCTAAATTTCGAGATTTTAAGACAGAATTTTTAGAAATTTTTTTGGGTAGGCACTTAACAAGCCTATGAAATTCTAGTAAAATAAGTGCATTTAAAATCGCATTGATTTTAAAATAATTTTTTTTTTTTTGCTGACGGCTTTTTCGGTTTTTTATCATATAAAAAGCTGAATTTAGAAAAACTGGCGTTGACTTTTTTTTATTTTTTTTTCGAAAAAGTCTTGCGCAAATTCTTCCACAAAAAATTTATGTTTATATTGAAAAGAGTGCAAAATGCTGCCAACAAAAAAAAATATTAAAAATCAATGCGATTTTTCAGCCGATCAAAACTCGCACCTTTTTTACTAGAATTTTTAATATTTTAAAGCTCGAAATTAAGAAAAAAAATTGTGGAATTTCTCTAAGTTCTGTATAAAGTTTGAAAGTGTGATTTATATAGTTTTTGTTAAAGCGTGAAAAAAATCTCAAACAAATTTTAGCTTGAAAACCATTTGAACATTAAAAACGAAACACCATTCATCCATTTTTGATCGCCACTGTACATAAAAAAAAAATATATTCCAACGAATTGATAACCTCCTCCTTTTTTAAGTCTGTTAATATGTGTTTTTTTTTGTTTTAATTGTAGGTTAGGGTAGGTTAGAGTGGCTGCCCCGCGCAGAGTGGTGGTGGTGGGTGGGTGGTCGAGGACGTTCGCCGATTTCAAGTCGGCTAAACAATCTAGAAAGTAATTGCTGAAGAATGTCTTGCGCGCGTTTGCCAGGGCGGGAAAACTGCGACAAAAATCGTTGGTGGGGTATCCTAACCTTTTTCCGTGTGTGCCCATCAGACAGTGTCCGGTGATTACCCCGACTACTAATCTGAGAGAGAAGCGGTCCATCCGTGTGAGAGCTATGGATCGCCTAACATCAATCTTTGGCCAAATTTGCCTGGTAGTATGGTAGGTGGTTTCCACAGCCCACCTGGTATTTACCTCCCCGATGAGTTCAGCCTTTAATCTGTTTGCAGGAGGGTAGAGATATGCCCGCATTCTGAGCAGAATTGGCTTCCGTCCCCCTCCTTGCCAGCTCGTCGGCTAGCCAGTTGCCAGGAATGTCCGTGTGTCCAGGGACCCATACAACAGTCAAGGAGTATTTTGATGCTAGCAGGTTGAGTCTTCCTGCATTCTATGGCTACTTTGGACATTGTACCGTTAGATTTGAGAGATTTGATAGCAGCTTGGCTGTCAGACTAAGCGGCGATAGGCCGTCCTGGCGAGACGGAGGTTATGAGCCACCGTGCCGCCTCCATTATGGCGTTTAGCTCTGCTTGAAAAACGCTACAATACTTCGGTAAGGCGAATTCGTCAGAGTAAATCCCGCTACCCACACTTTTGTTAAGCTTGGAGCCATCTGTATATATGTAGTGCTGGATGTACATTGACAGACTACTGTCGAGTAATATGTACTCCCCTTAAACTAAACGACTGAACGATAACTCAACGAAACACGACAAACGACGGGCATGGACATTTTTCAAATAGAGCCGAACGGACATTACAAGTTGGACTGCTGAAGTACGAAGTTGGTGAAGTGGTAAATCTATCTACTTTAAATTAACTTTAATATAATAAATTTGTTAAAAAGTTTAAATATCACCAACTTAACGTGTTTTAATTAAAACGTGGCCGGTCTGGTAAGAATTCCTACATATATGGCCATCGACCCTACGTTTAAGTCTGTGGCCCCTTCCCATTCGCTCCTATCTGGGATTCTTATGAAGAATTTGTTGTCTAAACAGAGTAGAGGTATAATCTATCTATCGTAGATTGTCCGGTTGAGTTTCAATTATTTTTGCGTATCCGAATCTTAGGCCTCTCCTTGGCTGGATCGCATTTAACCTGGCCGTACTGCAGCCGGCCCGAAATTTACCGGAGAGATCTACAGGTGGAAGATTTAACAATATTTCAAGAGATTTTGTGGGTGTAGTGGGCAATGCTTCCGTGACGAGTATGGCAGCCGTCCTCTGCAGTCGTTCCATCTTGGCTATAGAGAAGGTGTTGTTTAGCGCAGGCCACCATACGGTGACCCCATAGAAAAGGATAGGTCTTATCACAGCTTGGTACATCCAGTGTACTATATGTGATTTTATTCCAAATTGTTTTGCTTATAGCCGTCTTGCAGGCATACAGAGCGGTATTAACCTTCCTGGAGCAGTCTTTAATGTTTCGCTTCCAGTCCAGTTCCTTGTCTAGAGTGAGTGCCACCCCTTTTAGGATGGGAGGTTTAAATATAGAAGTGTTTTACATCCTTGTGAAAAGTACCATTTCCGTCTTGGGGGGATTGACACGAAGTCCACATTGCTTGGACCAGATGTTAACCAGACTGAGTTCGTTTTGCAATATTCACTCAGAACCTGCAGATGTTTGCCCTTTACCACGATTGCTGTCATCAGCGTATGCTATGACTTGACAACCCGAGCTTCTTAGGCTTAGAATTAGGCCGATAACGCTTAGATTCCAGAGTAGAGGGTAGAAAACGCCCCCTTGGGGAGTGCCTTTTTACATAATTTGTAATGGAACCATCCCCCAGTTCTGATAGAATAGTTCTTTTTTCGAGAAGGAGCCCAACAAAATCCACCAGACCCCGCTGCACCCCCCGCCAAAAGGAGGGAGTTAGTAACAGACGGATAGACATTTTTGAAAGCACCTTCGATATCGAGAAAAGCTCCGAGCGTGCAATCCTTTTTCAATCGTCGCTATGATTTAGTGAATTGCGGTCTCCACGGATTTTCCCTGGGAATCTGAATACTGATTCCCGAGAAGTGAGTGCTCATAAGGACCTCCAAAATTTTGTTACATGATGACGTCCAGCCACCGTTAGGCTTTTGGACAGAGTTCATACTTGAAGAAGATTTCGACAGAACTTTCCTCGGCCTGTTGGCTTCAGAGTTCTCTTCTATGTTGTTGCAGAAGTTTTGTTTTTTTTTTTTAGTTCAAGCTCATTTTACATATTTAAATCGTCAATTTGAACGTAGTTTAAGACTTCCGGTGTCAGGGTCATCCGGTGGAGGTACATGTGGAGAGGTATTGAGTGTTGTTTGGACCTTGCCTGCATGCTGGGAGGATGTTTGCCACTTCTGAGTTGCTGTTGAGTCTGTGACTCCACCCTGGTCTCTCTCGGCAGTTCAATTTGTTCGGGCTGCGTCAAACGGATGGGCTATGTACGGCTCGATGTGAGATCTCCAGTCGTGCAGGTGCCGTCTTATGGGGGCAAGGATTGTGCCAGCACCAGCATCTGGCTTTCTTCACGGAGATGATGCTCGGACGGCGAGATGGCAACCTGTGGCCCTACATAGAGCTATATACTTAGTTTGCCACCGACCGGTCGATCGTCGACTCCCCAGGTGCTACTGGTTAGCGACTTGAGGACTTCGTTCCTGGCTCACAGTTTGTTAGAAGTGGGCTTTGTGGATTACCCTGAGGAGAATATGCTGTCAAACGTCACTTCCAGGATTTTATTTATTTATTTATTTTTATTTATTTATTTATTTTTATTTATTTATTTATTTTTATTTATTTATTAATTTTTTTTATTTATTTATTTTTATTTATTTATTTATTTTTATATTTATTCGACGTAGACGTCTAATTTGAGCCTAATCGCCTTGGTGCAGGTGGTGAAAAGTGTGGAGGTTGCTTTTGCGGCAGAGCTCTCTAGGTTTCTGGCCGTGCAGAAACTGGAGACATCGGTGAGATGATCAGCGATTTGTAGTTGTTGTTGGGGCCCGTTGTCATGCTCGTGCAATCATTAGCGTCCCTTATCAAGTGAATTCCGTCTGGCGTTGGAGGCACCTTTTACTTCACCAAACTGTACCAAAATTTGATATATCCATTACGATTGGACTCCTTAGCACCAACTTGGAAATTTTTTAAATCGGTCGAAACCCGCTCCTTGCGAATAGAGATTAGTGAATCAAATACGAAAATAGCTGTTTTTTACCAAACATTTTTAAAGTTCAGGGACTTCAAGAAACATATTTTCGTGTTGTATTCGACCCTACCTACAACCTTCACTATGCTTTGTTTCGGATGTATTCCTTCCGCAGCAATAAGTTGTTTAGCTTTCGCAAGCGGGCAGCAACGGCAGTCAATTGATATTTTGGGTTTGCTTATGATGTCTCGATAAAATTTGCAATTTGTTAGCAGTCGCAACCGTTTACGTTTTTTGTTTGTGCTTAGCATCATACATACATACATATATATCCGTGTTCGTATGGAACAGCTTATGTCGGAAAGCTGGCTTTAGTATAATGCGGCATTGCCTTTATTCTTTAAAACGGCAAGAAATTTTTTGATGAGACTTAATAAGAATATTGAAGAATATCAATTGACTGCCGTTGCTGCCCTCTTGAAAAAGCTAAAAATTTCTCATTTTTCGACGTCGACTGGAGACTGGCGACAACTTGCAAAAGCAAAGCTGATGCTTTTACTTTCGACTTGTGCCGCTGATCAAAATCAAATCAAAATTTTCAAACCAACGACTGCCGAAAGCACTGCGCATTTTGTCGGCAATCGGTTTTTGCTTTTGCTTTGACTGCGACTGTTGGTTTGTCTCAGAAGCGTAAGCACAAGCAATAAGTCATTTTGAAGAGTTACAATAAGTCGAAGTAGGGAGAAGCAAAAATTTTATGGCTTTTGCTACTTCGACTTAAGTTTTTTAAAAACTGTTATTAATATAAAAAATATTTGTTATCAAAAATAACTAATTAATATAGGAATAATTCCATTTCTCTGTTCCTAAATTGTATTGAATTAGTACTTAATACATCATAATTAAAGTTAAATGAATGAAGTCAAATACATTTCCTGATTTTCTTCTTTAATTATTGTTGAAAATTAAATTATTATAAAAACGCCCACCAAAACGTAAATGTAAATTTAAGTCGAAAAGGCAGACGCTAATCTTAAAATTAAAGAGTTGATTCTCGATATCACTTGAGACATGCCTCAAACTGGGTATCGCCCACAGTATGGCCCTGCATCGCTCTTAAAACATTGCGTTCGAATAGCGCGCGATTTGATTGCAATTGGTCGGCTGCTTCTTTATTCAATGGATCTTCGGGATTAGGCTCCTGAAAAATACAGAGATCTGTAAAAGAATTCTTTTGAAAATATTACCTATAAATTAACGTACCAAGAAGAGAAATTGTAATCCGTAAACAATCGAACTGATGGTCAACACTGGATTCCAATCTTCTCGTAATATATTTAAACAGACATTTCCTTCCAGATCGATGTTTGGATGGTAGACTTGCGTTTCGCATTTAACTTTTGGTGGCTCGTGAGGGTAGTTGGGCCCCACGCGAAAACTAAAAACAAAACGACCGTTCTTATAGAAACCTTCGTCAGGGCAAATTGTGAGCTTGAAGTTGAGCAAGTCATTTGGATCAGGAAACTCAGTGGCACATGTTTTAGGCAGGTTTAGCTCGTTGATATCTGTAATTTATGTGTGAGAAAAAATTAATATAGCGATAGCTTATATAAAAAATAAAACTTGTAGCCCTGGGGCAAGAGTTTAGGGGACAAACGTTTTCAAACACCTGCAACCCAAAGTTTTTGCGTACGCCAAAAGATGAAAACTTGTAACTAGGGGTATGAACTATCACAAACTCGCACGTAACAACAGAGCTAATTATTGAAAATGGCGAAAACTTTTAACAACCAAATGAACACTTCTTTACTACAATTGGGTTCTGGATAAAAGTGAAAGGATTCAAAAATGCATTTAATGAAAATTCATTACAAGAACTTTTGCAAAGTAGTCTTATTGTTTTGCTATTCAGTACAGCTGAGGTGACCACATTTTTAGCGCAATGAAGTTTATAAAGACTATGCAAAGAAAAGGGATTAAAATAAGTTTCCTTATATTTTTTTTGTTAATGTTATTGTGGCTTGTTAACATTTTTTATTTTTAATATTTTTATTGAGCTTTGTCCAACGATTGTTTATTAGGAAAAATTGAAAAAGCAACAAAGTCTAAGCGGTAGAAGTTATAGCACTATTTCGGAGATCACCACATCTCCTCATCAGACTTCTTTTTCTAGACTTCAGCAGGGATCGAACCTGCGAATTCGATGTTCAAAGTCAGAAGCGTTAACCACTGAGCTATGTACATCCCGTAAACTCTTGTTGCTAATTCAAATATGCGGTGCTTTCTAAAAAGATTGGAAAAATGTTGTGATCATTTTGAAATTACTACTGATACCTTAAAAATTTAACGATTCATGTGATGTACCCAAAGATTCGTTAGATCTATCAGAAGAAGAGATACTTTTTAACCGACTTTCAAAAAAGGAGGAGGTTATCAGTTCGTCGGAATATTTTTTATTTTTTTATTTTTTTTTTATGTATGTTACCGAATAACTTTGGACTACGTCAACCGATTTCGAAAATTCTTTTTGCATCGGAAAGTTAGTGTCTCAGAGGTGGTCCCATACTAATCTGGTTAAGATCCGATCAGTGGATCATTTGATATATATATATTTTTTTTGTATATGAGAATTGAAGTCGGTTTTTTTTGCTAAAAATTACTTGTTTCTTATCGATATCGAAAAGAACTTATTGGGCCTTATCAGTGTGGGTTTAGACCTGGCCAACCCACCATAGATCAGGTATTTACAAAACGCCAAATCTTGGAAAAGGCTCGGGAGAATATAATCGACACACACCATCTGTTTGTCGACTTCATAGCTACTTTCGACAGGACGAAAATAAGTTGTCTTTATGCCGCGATGTATGAATTGGGTATCCCCGACGTTACCTTAATTCACAAAGGACCTAACCAACACTTTTTTCGAAAGTGCACTTTCGCAGATTTTGGTAGGATGTATATACTCCTTCAATAAAGATTTTTGTATTGGTACCTAAAACAACGGAGTTACATGCCACTTTTTGTAATATTTTTGGCTTCTCCTGTAAAATAAAAAAACAAAATAGGCAGGGCATTTGTAAATTAAGGTAACGATATGTAAAATGACTTTGAGCCGTTTGATACAAAACGAGGTTTGAGACAAGGTGAGTACCTTGCAGGGGGGGCGAGTGCAGTGCAGCGGGACGCGGGAGAGCGAGCAAATGTGCACCCGCCAAGTTATGCACTCGCAAAATTAAAACTTACATAAGTACATATATTTATTTTCCAATACCAATAAATCCGGAAATATCAAATAATTATTTATTTAATATTATTAGTAATAATTTTTATCATTTTAAATAATTCAGTATCATAAGTACATAGTACATATTGCATATGGTATACCCGAATTTTGAAAACCTAACTTATATCATAATTACTTTAATTATTGGTACTCAAAATAGTTTTTAAAAAGGTTGTTAGTTTTTACGATGGCGGCAGCCAGGAGTTAACATCGTAAGTAAATAATGTTCGGAATGTATTTTCTACAGATAACTTTTGAAATATTAAACAGTAAAGTTAATTTCCGTTCTCGGATTCGTAATACTGGGGTTTTAAAATGCGTGTACTTGATAACCCTTTTGAAGAAATAATTTGATGGTTACCAAAGATTGTCCCCAAGTGTCCGTAAACTGGAAAATTACCGTAACAATTTTAAAACACGGCGAGAGTTTCTTTATTCACATTCCCAACATTCGGAATATATTTTTCTGTTCACTTATTCATTAGAACGTTGTTCACGGATAATATGGGGCCGGATAATCTGAACACATTCTTTTCATTTCGTCTCTAGTATGGAATTCATAGAATATTGCATGAAAATAATGGCGCTAGAGAAGCCAAGCAAGTTTTTGCAAATTGTTTTGCGAAAAAATTTAATTAAACACCAATAAGCTGATACCTAATAATTTCATTCTCTTCTGTATCAAATGTATGCAACCACGCTTAGATGTTAGTTTTCTACTATATTGCCCAAATTAGACTTTTTCTTCTAGGGCAGTTTATAAATAAAAGAAGACTGATGCTTTGTATTTTAACGTTTTGGAATGCACCCCCTCTTAAGCAACGACCCATATAAAAATCATATCCAAAAGCAAGAACATTATTTTCATAATATACATATTATGTAGGTACATTTTCTTTTTACTATCCTACATAATGTACCTTGTAATATTGCGAAAGCTACATATCGTCAACTGAAATGCAAAAGGCCGTAACTAACAAAAAATCCAAAATTTCTTTGATTGATTGTGGGGCATTTCATCGAATAACAATTTCCCTCATCGTTTTATGCAAAAAACAAATTTTTTTTAGTTACGGCTTTTTGCATTTCACGTGGCGAAATGTAAATCTAAATTTGGATTCTATTAGAAATTTGTATTAATGCACTTTATATGTACATCGGGACGTTCATGCATTCCACATTAACATTAATGTCTAAATATCTGTGCATTGCCATTTCCTGTATTAAAGTTTACCTTTTTGTATACGTAGTTGCGCAGCTGATGCTTTCTTCTGTTGCCCGGTTCGGGCCAACTGTTCGCCATCCTTTTTTTGTTGTTTTAGTGAAAACAATTTAATCATAACGTTTTTGTTGCTGCTCCGTGTACTTCACTTCCGTATTTTGTTCTTAAATATTTATCTGTTATTACTACCAATCCTCTTTAACGCTTCTATTGTAGGTCCATTAGCTGGTTACTACTGTAATTAAAGATATCGTACGAGGTCGGAGACAGGGCGCTGGCACACTGTTGTTGTTGGTTTCAATGATGCGTATTTTTTCTGCGCTCCACTCGTAGTATTTCGAGCTACAGCTCAGGTATTTTGTATTTTAATATAATTTTCCTTGAGCTTGCAATAGTCCAGCACTCGATATATTTTTTTAGATTATTATGAATTTGTTCTTTACTGAGTTTCTCCAAATTTGACTTTTGACTTCCAACCAGAAATGCCAAAAAGTGAACCGATAGGGTTGTCGCTTTCACAAATAATGTACGATTGTGTTGTCTTTTAATAAGGTCTTCACACCTGCTAGTTGGTACTTGGTAAACTGCTAATTGGTACTCACTAATTTCATCAAAAGTTTCTTTGTCTTTTTATTTTGACCCAGATCTTCATTATTACTTAACTTTTTGCAATAGTTGATAAATCGAAAAATAGAGAATTAAAATATCTTTCATAATTATAGAATAAAAACTAATTTAAAATGCATAATATGCCTTTTCATCAAGCGTGAGTGTGAACGTTCGTAAAGGCAAAGAACTCCATTTATATTCTTAGTCTAGGTTCAGACATAGGAACTTTTGTCGCGGCAACTCGTTGGAGAGGGAGTAACGAGGAAGGGGGAAGGCCACCGAGTTGCTCGCACTCGGGCAACACGCTTTGTGCTCGCGTTCGTCTGAGTAGTTCTAGTTGGCCGTTCACAGCTGACAACAACAATTGTGTACAAAAGATTTGCTCTGTGTGAACGTGAAGGGCAACACCAAAGGAGAAATTGCCGAAAATGAGCAACAAAAGTTTCTCTGTGTGAGCCAAGGTGTATTAAACAAGGTGTGATTAACAACTCAGGTAGGCTCTCTTTTAAGGTACTATTATGCCAAAGAATATAAACAATCGATTCAAAATTCATACAAAATTTTTTCAATTTGACTTTATAGGATGGTTCTTCTGAGAGCAATGTCAAATTCAATCACACTTTGTTGAATACATTTTGGTGTGAGCCTAGTCTTATGGACGCTCTCACACATCTGTCAAAACTTGTCGTTCGCATGCGATTGCTTTGCTCACGCACACAGCTTGAGCTTGAAAAAAGGCATATTATGCATTTTAAATTAGTTTTTATTCTATAATTCTGAAAGATATTTTAATTCTCTATCTTTGGATGTACCAACTATTGCAAAAAGTTAAGTAACGAAGATATTCGTCAAAATAAAAAGCTCACGGTCACGCTCGCATTGAACTGTATAGCAGGCTTTATTATAACCGAGCTCGGTGTGAAGACTTTAAATAGTAAGGGTATCCAAAATCTTGCCGTTGCATGAATTATTGGACTGTAGTAAAGCCGAAACATATCCTGAAATACGCAAAGCGCTGTTCCAAAAAGGCGTCCTTGAAAACATCTAATATAATATAATAGGGGTCTTCATCTAAAGTGATAAAGGAATAAATTGCTTAAATTTATCAGTTTATCCACATTCTTTCATGAAGGCACCTTGGTAAATAATTGCATGAACTGCTATTTAACTTACTGGCGTCCCTAAATTGGAGCGCTAAGCGTTGCATTTTCCATTGTCAATGAGTATCAGCGCGCGCTATCCCCAAATCAACGCGGCGTAATTTTTGACGTTTTCTCATTTGCTCTCGTTTTTATTCTCGGTTCCTCTTTCACTTGCATCCAACTTGAACACGTACCGCCCTGTCTAAAATGAAAATTCCATTTGCTCGGCGCTAGCGCGCGTTGTGGAATGCTCCATACAATTTGTACGGGCATGAGGATTTTTGTCTGTTGTTTGGCGCTTGATGCGCCAATTTAGGGACGGCAGTTATATGGCTTGTTAGGTTTCATCCTTACTTAGGGTTTACGCCGGAAAATACCCTGTAGCGGAAAGTACTAGTACATAACTAGTGACTTCACCAGTTTTCAGGAATCGAATACCGGTACCTCGCACCCATGCTTTCTACTGTCGCATTTAACATGGAGTTGTCCTAGGAGGTGACAATTGACTCCCGCTGCGTAACTTGTTGCCTGTAAAAGTACCAGTTTTTTTTTGGTTGTGCACTTCACAGATACTTTTTCATAACTAAAAAAACCGAAAATACAAATTTTTAATTATATGTTCTGTATAGTGAGATTTGAACTTGGACACTTTCGGCCGCAACTTATTGTAGCCAGCATCTTTGCGCACTCACCTACAGGCACAACATGCAAGCGTGCTTTCAAATCTCGCTTCGAATCAAGCCAGGCGACGATTTGTTCAAATTTAAATTTGTCTTTGCTATTGTCTTTGCTATTTATTTTCCTGCGATCGAACGTACAAAGCTGCAGCGTGGCGTTGTTTGAAATTTTATTATTGGGCTGAACTGATTTTTGATGATAATTTTAACAAAATTGTCATTTAAACTCGCTATATTTTCATACAATTAACTACAAACTATTCCAAAGAATTTAAGTTTAACACCACTTCTTAATACTCAGAACAAATAAAACTACAGGTTTATAACTTTTTATGAGAATTAAGAGGGCGTATGTTTTCAAATGCAAAAGTTGTGTTATAAAGTTTGAAATAAATTTTTTGTTTTAAAACAATATTGTAGATGACTAGCTAAGGAAATTTGGCGAAAGTTTTAGATTTAAACATCAAGTAGTTGCAAAGTTATAACAATATTATTATGACTCGCACGGTTAGCAGATTAGCGCACTGCGCTCTAAAAGGCTTTGTAGCTCGGAAAAACAAAAAAAATCCCTTTTTTATTAGTCATTTATATATAAAAAGACTTGATCTTTCGATTGAGATAACTAAAAACAATATTAAAAACTGCCAAAATTCAGAAAAATTACAAATAAATTTTCGTTCAGAATTTTCACCATAAAAATGGCAAAATTTTGGAAAACGCATATTACCATCGTATAGCTCGTACAAAAATCTATAGAATTCATAGTTTTCGAATTATTTTTCCCATTTTCTGTCTGCTTCCCAGCTAGTCGAAAGTAGCTTGTTCTGCACCGCTCAAAGTAGTAGTTATGTAAAAAGGGTTATCTACATATGTATTTCTTTATTTAGGTACTTTTTAGTCCGATATTTGCGTGGTGGTCACACGAGGGAAACAGAACATGGATAAGTATTAAAATTTTATTATTTGTATTTAAATGATAAATAACAAATTCCTTTATGTAATAAGGGAGCACTATCATATTAAAACGACCAATAACCTTTAGGAGGTGCAATATGTAACCAATAGCTCCATTTCTTACTACCTGGAGCATAATATGCTATTGGAACTAGTAATGTAACTAGTACGAAAGCGACAATTGTAACCGACCCCGCTGCAGGGTACTGTCATGACAATAGCAATACATGCATACTTTTTGGCTAATACATAAATACTTTTCCAATTGTTTCGATCACTGTCTTGATTATTTTCAAGACAATAAATCGGGCAATGATTCGACGTATGCAGATAATAACTTTGACGTCTTGTGCAAGAAAGCAGAGATATTCATAATAAAATAACTACAATAATTAAAGAGACGCTGATGTGTATGTAATTTTGTCTCTTCTTTTTTGTCACTAAGGGTATTCATCAAACCTTATAAATGCATTGTAAACCGTATAAACTTATAATTGTGTAAACCTTATAAATGAACTGTCAAAATTTGTATGGAAACTCGTTTTACACATTTCTGATAAATTTATCCAGCGATTTCACTGAATAAACTTGATAAACTGAAGACAATGCAACTCTGTCGCAACTCTAGCTATGTTTTCTTAGGCAATAATCGGGATCCGCATACAAATTTTGCACGCAAATTCAACAACGATATGATCCTGATAGAGATCTGGTTCAATTATTACCCCGTCTGTTTGTTTTGTTTCACTGATAATTCGCAAAGTTTGGTAGCCGTGACAAATGAATTCATACACAAACAGACATTCTGCCATTGTTTCTTATAACTTGCTTCAAATAAATAGCCTTTATGTTATATGTACATTTATTTAAATAGATATCTCGTAAATATAATTTTTTCCAATTTAGTGAGGTAGTTTCTATAATTTCTTTATCCCCGTGCTAGCAGTATAAAGTTAGTGACACTGCGCTTTATAACCAAAGAAAACACGACTATTGTCGCATGTGTAAACGAAAAGAGTCATGGGTCGTTCATGTAACAGAGTGCATAAACTTATAAGATTATCTGCTTGATAAAGTTATCGGTTTAGATGAATACCACTAATGTTATTGTGGCTTATTAACATTTTATTTTTAATATTTTCACTGAGCTTTATACCACGATTGTTTATTAGGAAAAATTGTAAAGCAACAAAGTCTAAGCGGTAGAAGTTCCAGCAGCTATTTCTTTTTTATTTTTTAGTTTTCAGCTCAAATAGCTCGCGCGAAATGCGTATTTCTGCATCTTATAATTCAACGTCCGCGTTCGACATTTTGCTCAAAATGTATTGTCTTAGCTATTGTCAGGACGCCTACGACACGGAGACAATTATCAGCGTTTTTGACAACTAATACCTATTTCATTATTGTCTTGACAGCATTGTCCAATGTAAACGCGCTGTTACCTCGTACATTGTGTTCATTTGCTTTTATATGTTCGTAGCAAAAGCAACTACCTGGCAACCTGTAAGGGTTGAATCTTGCTGAAATTTATACATTTATCCACCAAAATCGTTTGATAAATGCTGAATTTCTTTATTCATTCTGAACGTTTGGAATAAACTTTTTTGTTTACTTATTCTTTAGAACGTTCCTGATGATTTGTTAACGAATATTTCAAACGCATTCTGTTTACTCCGGCTGTATGATTTCCATACCAAGTTTGACAGTTCATTTATCAAAATGATAAATTTATCACTTTATCAAGTTTATCAAGAGTTTATCAGTTTTGATGAAGACCCCTAATAAATCAATCTAATTAGTATAATCTCAATACTTTTTCACTTAGTTTTAAATTAAATTGGTGCGAATTGTCTTGTTACTCGGCACCATTCCATATTATATAAATTGTTTGTATGATATGTAGTTGAAATAAATAATGCTCCCTTAACAAGGGATGACGGAAATTCATTCCAAAATAATTCATCTTACCACCCTGTCAGAAATGAGTTAATACAAATATCTTTTAAAAGTATGAATATTTTTAAAGAAAATTGTTTGTACTTCACTATCGTATAAGTGATTTGTGTTATTTATTATTACCCTATGTTATAACCAGATCTCATTTTTAAAATAAAAGTTTCTTTCAAGCCGATTTCATTAATTTTATAAAAAAAAATTGCGATTTTTTACGATTTCTTTTTCAGAAATGGTTTTTTTTCTTTTTAAACAATCTGGACACCCTGTTCAAAACAGTCTTGAACGAGGCAGCATTGGTTGTCTCTGGCGGAAGAGGCAGCGAAGCTTTTTAGGAGTGAAATTGAACCTTCCGCGGCAGGAGATGCCAGGAGGCAACAAAGATGGGACAACTCAGCTCCCGGCTAGACTTAACTTAATTTAACTTACAGTAAGAAATCATCAATGATTACTCAACACGTCAACTTAAGTTAAGCTGACCAAGCGTCACTATCGTATAAGTGATTTGTGTTATTTATTATTACCCTGAAAGTATTATATTTGTTTTTTTTAGACCTTTCTGATGATGATGACGATGACCAAGATATTAGAGAGAGCAGTGATGTAGATCCACAGCCGCCTGCTAAACGGCAACTGGCCAAATCATTAATTTAATTAATTTAATTCTTTTACTTAAAACTTTTCGTAACTAACATTTCAAAATTATATTTTTTCCATATTTTTATAATTTCTTTTTCAATGTTTCTTCAAAACCAACACTGAAAAAATTGGTACATGAGAAATGAGAAGTAAATTAATATTAAGCTGGAAAACGCAAGTTTTGTATTATGATTGTTTTCCTTTCAAATGAAATTTATTGAAGAAACTGAGAAGCATATTATAGATCAAACAGAAAGCAAAAAAGACTTAGTTTTGTGGAAAATATGTTCAAAAAGCATGAAAAAAAAAATTTCCAATATTTTGCTCCATAAGCACTACAAACATTTTCTAAATCAATTTTGTTTTTTAATTTTAATTGTTACACAGGTCTCTAGAAATAATTTGGCTTTAACAGATTGAAAAAATATCAATTAGTCGACGAGTTATAGCCAAAAAACCATATAAACAATAAGCTGAAAATCGGCATTTGACTGCAAAGTTCGAAGGTCGATTAAAAAAAAATTCGAACTAACATAAACAAACGCCGCGATAAGGGTCTTCTAATTTAGCCTCTATTTTCACCCCTCACTCTCAGAATCGACCTAACTTTTGCTAACCTGAATTTGTTCCACAGTGTTATAGTTGTGTATATTCAGGAAGATGTGATATTGCAGGTTGTGAAAATTAAGGCTGCAAAATGGTCCATGTGGAGCGATTGGTTAACTGGACAAGTTACTTGTTTCCCAGGCTTGCCTTTGTTGATTCCCGGTTGTAGTTGTTGTTGTATTGAAGGATATAAGAATTGCGTTTGTGTAGGTTGTTATTCCTTACAGTTGTGGCAGTTGGATTGGCACAATTTTTCAAACTATTGCAGCGGAAAGGACAACAGCGTATGCACATCGAGCCAGCGCTGAAATATTTGGAAAGAGATTTGTTGCTTCTTTGATCTTGTGCTTTTCGTTGATAGCTATTTGAAGTCCATCGTTGTGTTTTTAGTCCAAGTTTAATGCAGGGTCGCCAATATTTCACGATGAATTTTATTTGTTAAAATTTTTAATTATTTATTAGAAAATTTTATGTTTGTAATTTGAAGACTTTTATTTTTAATGATTTTAAAAACTTTTCATTTAGAAATTCTAATAAAATCTAAGAACAGAACAAATAAAAATTGTACTGGTATAAAAGAACAAGGTATTTATACCCTACAAACGGTATACTTCTTTTTTTAGGGAAACAACAACAACAACAATTATCAAAGGTTAAAAAGTTCAAAATAAGCAATTTTGAAATCAAGAATTATTAAAAGCAAATGGATGGATTTTGAAAATTTTTATATCATTTAATAGGAAATTCGATTCCCTTTAATTTGGTATACGTACTTTATATATATGTTGTATAGTTCTTACAAAAATTGAATTAATGTAAAATAAGGGCTTGTAAGCTTTTTTATAATTATTTTGCATTAATTCAATTTTCGTAAGAACTATACAACATATATATATAAAGTACGTATACCAAATTTCAAAATCCATTCATTCGTTTTGAGAAATCTTGATTTCAAAAATTGCTTCTTTTGAACTTTAACCTTTGATAATTCTTGTTGTTGTTGTTTGCCCAAAAAAAGAAGTATAACGTTATACTCAGCTCAATCATCTCTATCGATTGCAATATTTTTTTTTTTAATTTGAGATTTGGAGCCCAACTGCATTTATGCCCAATCTTGTATTCTATTACTAGGTTCACATATAAGTAGATTATCCTCATTTTCGAGCTTAACACCCTAATCTGTAATTATAACGAGATTAGCCATATAAAATTCGTCCCTTGTTAATCTGTAATTATAAAATAATCTCAGATTTAACCGATAACTTTTCGGTGTCCATCCTAGTTTTATCGATTGTTTTTGCGAAAGAGAGGAGAAATGCCAAATGTAAAAGTAAACAAAAATGTACGCTAGCAAGTAAAAGAGGTTTGTAAAGGTATTTTTAATAAAATGTTAAGTTAAAATATATTTATATTGCTTATTATAGCAGAAAAACGTGATCACGGTGGCACAGAGAAGAAACATAACTTCAAACCCCCCTCATTCGAAAGGGGACAGTCGCCACTTTACGCAAAGCCCCACCCCCTCTTGGGGACCTCCCACAGACCCCTAGGGAACCATTTGAAAATGGGGTAAAAACGGCATTTTCCGAGGCAAACTGAGCAGTTTGAAATGGAATATAACCCAACTAACGAAAACCGTGGGATTTTTAAATAAAATAAATTATCCCAAGTTGGTTATCAGGCGATTTGAAAAAAAAAAATTAACTAAAAAAAAAATTAAGGAAAAAAAAATTAACTAAAAATATTGTGAAATTAAGAAAAAAGCGACAGATAGAAATGTTCTAGTAATAGTAATATGATAGTATTTTAGCGCAGAACTTCTTTTTGCGGGGGCTGAACACCTTTCGGCCGCACTTAGGGATTATAACCCTCCTTTCTGTTTTGCGAAGAAAAGGAGCTGAACACCTTTTGCAGAGAACACCTTTGTATATTTTTAATGCTTACTGGGTTATATCCTATCTTCTTTTGTCTCTCATTTGGGGTGGTCACAGTTCGTTCCAAATTGTGTCTGAAAATGTAGACGTCTACATTTTGAGACATCTTTAGCATTAAACTGTGAGCACACCTTTCTAGCAGTCGTCGCAAAATCGTCTCAAAACTTTGCTGGTGTTGCCAGACATTTCTTCCTTGCGTGCATTTTTTATATGTCGCCTTTCGATTTTGTTTCTGAAAAATTGTAATTATTTAACTTAATTAGCAATTCGTAATATTTGTTATTTCTTTTCCTTGATTTGTTTCTTTTCATCAGAAATTGCGCTCAAATTAAATGCAAATACAGAAAACGTGCCCAATAAATAAAAAAAATGTGATTAGTATTGCCATAATGCAACCCTGCTGCGAGGTTGCAAAATGTAGACGCGTAAAAAACATACCTTTGAGTGTGACAAAATGTAGACGGCGTCGTTTTCCAATTTTGTATGGGAAACAACAACACCACAGATTTTACGGTTGGAAAACGGAGTTTGACAGCTGAACTCCGCCATTTAATTTGCATGTGCAACCAAAGTCAGACGCGTGATTTTGAAGGTGTTTTTATTTAATGAATTGTGATTAATTGGTTAATATTAAAGTCGTAAATCATTTTATAACTAATCGAGTAAAGTGTAAAGTGAAGGGGAATACAAAAATGAATTGGTGAAGTGGCTGCTTTAAGGAGAATAGGAGTGATAAATGTACGCTAATTTCCACATTTTACAAAAAAGGGCATATTTCAAACCCAATTTGTAAATAAATTAGTGACCAAAAATTACAATAGTGGATGTTAAAATAATGGGTAGACCCTTGGCTACAAGTGTGTGCAATTTTTTTTTGAATCGGCTCACCCCTTTGGACGCAATACCCCGAAATAGGTGGGCCACTTGCTAAACAGTTCCCGTTTATCATTCTTGTGCGTAAACGGGGTGATAACAAAACGAGCTTTGATACAAGATTATATTTATATGTACACATACTTTTATTGCGCTATAAACCGACATCAATAGTTTTCAAAAACTATCGGTAATGACGATAGGATTCAACTATCGATAGTAACCCAGCTTTAGTAGATCAAAATCAAAACAAAGTTGGATATAATTCACGCTGTATTTGCTTGAATATTAGAATTTCCAAAAATAGAATTAAAAATGTCTTCTGAACCCGACATTGCCAAAGAAGCTGTCCTAAAGCGAAGTGAAAATATTCCCGATGGTACTTCTATCGTCCATGGATACGATTGGAACCAAGGAGTTGATTACTCCAAGTTACTCCAATCATATGTTCATACAGGATTTCAAGCCACTAACCTTGGGTTGGCAATAGGAGAAATAAATAAAATGGTAGGTTTTACACTTTGCCTTAATTCAGTTGTAACAGAAAACGGTAAAATATTGACAGCTTGATTGCAGGGAAGAACAGCTTAAATCAGACGAGGAAGATATACATGAATCAGATGAATTTATAAAAAGGAAGCACAGTTGTACAATTTTTCTTGGTTTCACTTCTAACCTGGTCTCGTCGGGTCTGCGTGAAACGTTACGGTTTCTAATTGAACACCAAATGGTGGATTGTGTGGTGACGACTGCCGGAGGAGTTGAGGAGGATTTTATTAAATGCCTTGCGCCCACATATATGGGTTCATTTGAATTATCTGGCCGTGATTTACGCGAGCGTGGTATAAATAGGATAGGTAACTTGCTGGTACCGAATGACAACTATTGTAAATTTGAAGATTGGGTGATGCCATTACTAAACGAAATGGTTGAAGAACAGAAAACTAAAGGAATCGTTTGGTCACCATCTCGTATAATATGTCGGCTAGGTGAACGGATTAACGATACCAGCTCAATATACCACTGGGCAGCCAAGCATAAAATTCCAGTATTTTGTCCCGCCCTTACAGATGGAAGTCTCGGTGATATGATGTATTTTCATTCTTTTCGTCACCCTGGGTTAGTCGTAGATATTTTATCCGATTTGCGACGTTTAAATACAATGGCCGTAAAAGCAAAAAAGTCCGGAATGGTTATAATTGGTGGCGGTGTGATTAAGCATCATATATGTAATGCAAATTTGATGAGAAATGGTGCTGACTTCTCAGTTTTCGTTAACACTGCTTCTGAATTTGATGGCAGCGACAGTGGTGCACGACCGGACGAAGCTATATCCTGGGGTAAGATACGAAAGGACGCCACACCAGTGAAAGTTTATGCGGAAGCAAGTTTAGTAGTACCTTTGATTGTTGGAGAGACGTTCGTCAAAAGACATTTTAGTAAAATCAAGAAAAGTGAAAATTAACAATAAAACAAATTAAATACATAATTCGAATTTGATGTTTTTAGCTGAAACCGCATTGATCCGAGCGGCTTATAGAGCTACCCAAAGATTTGATAAACCAGTTACATATTCGTACTCGTAATGGCAGAATAAAGTAAATGGACACTTTGGCGTTGAAGAAATATGTTTTAGTGAGTCTTCACGTAGATGTTTATTCCTCATGGTCTTATTTATAATTTACAGTTTTCCTCTACGTTATGCACGTCATTCAGGGAAAGCAGTTAACGTTTCCCCCGACTTTCCACAGTCAAGACTTTGCGTAATCCGAATTAACACGATTTATATCTGGCCAAGGACTGTCAATTTATAAAGCCTCTTTGGGAATTTGTATGCTGTTACAACAGCAACAACCAATACGTGTTATGCTTTGGGTCACGACGGAGAGGCCCTGGATCCTCCACATAAAAACCCATTTCCAATAAAAAAGAACAACTCTCGTATGAGACCCGTCTGATAACAAAACTACTGATCATAAACAATTCCATTACTCTACATTTGGGTTCATTCGCTCATTAGCTTGATATATTTCGGTTCGTATTTATTTATGTAGTGCTGTACAAATTCGCAATCAACCTTTAGATTAAGATCATTCTTGGCGGCATATTCTAAAGCTTCCTTAGCCAAAAACTTCCCCAACCCGCGCCCTTCTATAGCAGAAGGCACTTCTGTGTGAACGATTCGCATGCGCCTTCCTTCTTTTTCATAATCAAGATGGGCGCGGAGAGGTCCAACATCCACAAAAAATTGATTTTCATCCAGGCTATGCTGAACATGCAATTTCGTAGAACCATTTACGCAAAACATTCGCATTGTTGGGTGTATCTTTGTTATGGCCAAGCCGTAAAATCTCGAAAGCATTATTTTTCGTATTACAGTACTCCTAAACTGTTTACACAGGATGGAGAATTAGTTGGCCCTGCTAACAGCTACAGCGGTATTAACAAAATTACATATGCAAAATACTACAAATGCGTAATACCAATGTACTTAAAAATTCACATGAACGAATGAATGTATTATATCAATTCGCTTTGATTTGGTTTATGAAAGTTTATTTAATTCAGAACTAGTCGATGTATCGATGTACTTTTCGATGTATCGAATAAAATAAACATTGCACATGATGCAATAATATAATAGGGCATTCGCACGCGGCGGTTTTACAGGCAACAAAAGTTGAATACGAAGTTGAATGAGAAGTTGAAAGTGAAAAAGTTGCCATCCCTATTCAGACGAGGCGATTTTCGATTCAACACGAATCGTTATTTACTTTATTGAAAATGAATTTAAATCGCAAAATTTTATCAATTGGCGTAAATTTGGTAAGCCAAGCGTTGGTAGACGTGCTTTTAGCGAAGCTGAAAGATAAAATAAGAGTAAAAAAGTAAAAAAGAAAAAAAGTATGTATACAGAACAGTTTTGGCATTTTTGGTACAATTGTACTTGTTTGATACAATTTCATTTACAATATACTTTCCTACTACGCAGTACTTTTTAGTACAATTTTGTAATGAATACTAAAAATATATAGCTCTGAAAATTCACAGCAAGAAATTTTTTGTATTCTCTTCTGTTCGCCTGTTCGTATTTACCTTTGTAAGTTTTGAAAAATGGCTTGAACGAACCAGTATAATATAGCCTAGGCAAATTTTTAAAGAAACTTTTCGATACTAAGTTTTATTAAAACAAAATGTCGAAGTCAGCTTCATATAGAAACAAAGTCTTCGTTAGTTATAAGAAGAGATTTTCTTAAATATAATACCTTTACAGCACTCACATATTGACAAGATTTTTCTATTTATTTTATTACTATTTAATTTTAATTATGTGATTATAAAATATAATATATTCTTTAAGAAAAACTGTATAAACCCAAGATTAAATCTTTGCGAAACATCCAAAAACCAACATACTTTCGTAAAAATTTCGTGCTTTATTAATATTCTTTAGTTTTTAGCCCATTCAATTTTAGTATAATAAAGTGCAAGTTTAAAGTAGCTGGGACTTACCGTTGACCTTGGCAATTTTTTTTGTCGACTATGTCAGCCCTTTGCTTCCATACGAAGTGTGTTCGACGATTTTTTTAGATGGAGAAAATTAGCAACACCTTCATCAAAGAAATCTTAAAAAACTTTGTTATATTAAAATTTAATGGGCTAAAAAACCGCACACTCAAAATAAATCTAGGAAATCGAATTAAAAAGCTCGAAATTTTTACGAAAGTGTGTTGGTTTTTTTAATGTTGCACAAAGTTTGAACCTTGGATTTGTACGGCTTTTCTTAAAATATAAACCGTATTTTTACAAACAATAATTAAAATTGAATAATATTAAGATAAATGGTCAAATCTTGTCGTAAAGTTTTGATAAGCACTTGAAATGCTATTAAAATGTCAAATTTTAGTACTGAATCCAAAGAAAGTGTCTCTTTTATCCATTAATAATAACTTAAATATGCTTTTTGTTAAGATGTATACCTGAAAATGTGTGCATACATATTTGCGTTAAATGCAGTACATGTGCACGTGGAATCAATTTGTAAAAGTGTAAAATCCGTAAACGTATGTACATAAAAAATAATACTTTCTCATGAATACCATAAAATCATTGATCTTGAAAGGAATGTACTAAGAAAATATATGAGCGAATTAAAAAGTGTATACAATTTATAGCCGAAAAGTACATTTTTTGTATAGATTTCGTACTGAAGGAACAATTTCATTTCCCAACACTGATACAGAATATAAGCAAACACGGTTGCAAGGAAAAAAGTTGAACGAGCTCAAAGTTGGCTGGCGACCAACTTTGTTGAAACGATTAGTTGAAAGGCCGTTCGGACGAGGCGATGTTTGCTTTCAACTAAAAGTTGCCTGAAAAATCGCCACGTGCGAAAGCCCTTTAAGGTAGTATCAGTTGTGACAGCTCGATTTGACACTGCCTTAGCTCAGTAGAAAAAGGAGAAAAACGGGAAGAAATGAATCCCCATTTGGGGGAAAAATATAAAATTTCATATTTTCTTCTAAACAAAATTTGCTTTTTTATAGTATATTCGCAATGAAATGAAATAAAATAAGATATAATACCTTTTTGAGATAACAAAATGTGTATACTGGGGAAAAAAAAACAAAATCAACTATATTATTAGGCAAAGAATTGTTAAAGAAGTAACACTGTTTCAGCTAAGGCAGTCAATATGGCGGAATCAGAGCGAGAAGTTGCCGATCGATAACACCTTCTATTATTGTATCCAAGGCGCATCAATTACAGGTGATAGCGATAGAAGCTATGCTTCTTCTTATGAGCACGCTTGTGTCAAATTATCGTCTGTTTTGCTTTATTTACATATCCGCGTACACATACACATATACGTATATATATACCCTGCAAACAAATGCTCCCGAAATCTTTAAGAGTGTCGGAAATTTGTTACGATTCTTTTAGAAATCTGTAAAGAAAAACATATGAAGCGGTTGACAAGAACTAGTAAAGAAATTTCTGTATGATTTCTTAAAGAAAATTCTTAAAAAAATTGTGAAACCTTTCAGAGTTCTATGAAATCCTGGTATGCAGGGTATACATATACACACGAATATGAATAGATAAAGAAGATGTTGATGACACAAGGAGTTCATACCAACGGTAAATGTTGTTTTTGTACGATTGCTACAACCTGTAGTTGTTGAATCATGTATTGTATCATGATTTTTGCCACTAGGGGTCTTCCCTTAATCTCGTAAAAGCCCCGTATAAAGGTGTTCGTACGCGGCGATTTTGCGTTTAACGCACGCAGGGTTGCATGAAAAAAAGTTCAATGGCTAAATGTTGGCTGGCGACCAACTTTGTTGAAAGCGATTAGTTGAAAGGCCGTTCATCCAAAGGTAGAACGCAAAGTTGAATAATGCAAACACCTTTTTATGGCGAATATTATGATATTTTTTCATATTTTGATATTTTTTCATATTTTGATATTTTTTCATATTTTGATATTTTTAGCCATTCAACTTTTTTTTCGTGCAACCCTGCGCTGAGTTGAACGCAAATGTTGAACGCAAAGTTGAACAATGCAAACACACTTTTAGTTTCGACTTTTCTGGCTAAGTACCAACTTAAAATTTAGTTTCGGCTGCAGCTGCAATTAAGTCGTAACTAGGAAGAAGTATTTTATTAAATTAAGGGAAAAAAGACGAAATATGTAAGAATTAAGTTGGTAGAGCGTGATTTTGATAATATTGAATGATCTCCAATTAAAATTTACAAAGAGCGATCCATTTGAATCGGTAGGTGAAATTAAATGTGTATTACAATTCGAATGAAGCTATATCATAATTTTATAATTGGTATGATTTAGATAAATTCTCAAATAATAACTCAATTTCACGCTAGTTCTTTTGGGGCCGGTTGCTCAAAGCCTGGTTGACACTAATCCCCGGTTAAACATCGTTATCGACGTTACCGACACCATGTTATTTGCATGGAGCCGAAAACGTCGATAACGATGTTAATCGGTGATTAGTGTCAATCAGGCTTTGACCAACCGGCCCTAAAAGTAAATTAGTACATAACATGTAGATATGTATGCATATGTATGTTTCACAGCATGCTTCCGATAAACATCGTCTTCACTTCACTGCGTTTGTTTTGGCTATTTCACACAGAAAAACTCGACTTTTTGTAACTTAAAAGTGCATAATGTGTGAAGTGTGAAGACCCACACTATTTGACACAAACAAATTAGGGGACTTACCCTGGCATTCAGTAAGCGGTCTCTAGTCACTAATAGTGACTTTTGGTGGTGAACTTGGATTTGGAGACTCAAAAATAAGACTAATAAGTCTGGCTAAGAGCTGGTCTCAAAAATAAAAATATGGAGAACAAGTTAATTGCTTTCCATTTTATTAAAAAAGAAACGCGTATATGAAGCGAGGAAACTTGTTCAATAAAAATTCCGTTAGGAAATAAACCAAAATGCTTTACAAACCCATTGAAAAAATATTTTTTTTTAACATTAAAATCTAAAGATTATTAAAAAAAATAAAACTAATAAAAAAAATACTAAATAAAAAAAATATAAAATATCCTCTACGCCCGAGGAGTACTCGAACCCGGACCCTCTCGACCGGCAGCCTAATGCTTTGACCACTCGGCCATTGCGAATCTTCGTTCGGCGCGGCAAGAGGTATACATAAACGCTGTCAGTTGACTGTCTGTGTTTGTTTTCACCACATATTTTTGGTGAACTTTTTGTGACTCTCTCCTGAATAGCCAAATCATCTCAAGTCACAAAAATATTCACTAATTGCTAATCTCAAATTTACCCCCTTATTCTAGAACCCGAATTTTCGTAATTCGTAATTCGTAGCTACGCTACGAAAAACGAAAAATACACATGCTGCAACCCTTGCGGAAACATGTGCAGCATTGCCAGCTATCAGTTGTTTTTCGAAGATAGCTGAATGAAGGAAAACGAAGTGGAAAGGAATTAAAAAAAACACTCATGAAGTGCTTATTTATAGTAAAATTGTTTGATTTTAAATATTTTGAAGGAAACGGTGGATTCTATTGCATTTGCAATTATAGCAGCGGAGTAAGAGCGCGCTATGGGAATGATTTCACAAAGATATGCGGAGCTGTCAGGCCTAGTAACCATGGGCGCATCTATGTCAGCTTCTGGTTGAATTGTTGAACCACAAGCCAGAACTACTCCTATGTCTGAAGAACTGGTTCTAAATCCAGTTAATGCAATAACAGCTTCTTCTAAGCCATTGAAAACATGCAGTTTGTTAGGTCCACCACCTGTTGCATTTGCTTCTGCCTTCGGCTGCGCTTAGGGATTATAACCCTTACTAAGTAGAATTCTCCTTTCTGTGTTGCCGGAGAAGAGGGGTTCCGCATGTCAAATGTATACAACACTTCTTGTGAATATCACTCCGACTACGCCATCCACAGAATTTTTGCGTAGAACCCACGTCGAAATTTGCAAAAAAGTGCATAGTGCAAACCGAATTTATTAATAAGCTAGTACTCGGAAATTGAAAACTTTCTTTTTAAATAAAATTGTAATCCTTTGATTACATATGATGTTAAAGTTTTTGGATTCGGGTTATACGTTTGAACACAACAA